TTAGATTATAATAAAGTTAAAAATGAAACCGCTCGGGATCCAATTCTCTCGAAGGTTATTAGCTATATTCGGGATGGTTGGCCAGGGGAATGTAATATTAAGGGTTTACAACCGTTTTTTAATCGAAAGAATGAATTATATGAGGAACTAGGCTGTGTGATGTGGGGGCATAGACTAGTTGTTCCGGAGGCCTGTAAGGAAAAAGTTTTATGTATGATTCACGAACCTCATATGGGCATTGTCAAATCCAAGGCTATAGCTCGAAGCTATGTTTGGTGGGCCGGGGTGGACGAGGCGGTGGAGCGGATATGCCGGGAGTGCGAGATATGCGCGGCGCAAGCGGATGCTCCGCCAAAACAGACGCCTCGTATGTGGCAATGGCCCAATCGTCCTTGGTCAAGGATACATTTAGATTTTATGGGGCCCGTTTTTGGAAAAACGTACTTGGTAGGGGTCGATGCGATGTCAAAATGGCTAGAAATCTATCAAGTAGCGAGTACGGCAGCCACGGGGGTAATAGATAAGTTAAGGGAACTTTTCAGTCGTTGGGGACTACCCAAACAAATCGTGACGGACAACGGTCCCCCGTTCTCAAGTATAGAATTCAATAACTTCATGTGCAGTCACGGTATCGATCATATTTTCACGGCTCCGTATCACCCTGCTTCGAACGGTTTAGCTGAAAACGCGGTAAAAACCTTGAAGCGGGTTATAAAGAAAGCGGTGCAGGAAAAACAAAACGTAGACAGGGCACTACAAACTTTTTTTGCTATATTATAGGAATACGGAGCATTCAACCACCGGCGAGAGTCCCGCTATGTTATTGTTAGGTAGACGACTGCGCACTAAGTTAGATATTTTAAAACCAGACAGGGAAAACAGGATTTATAAGGTGCAACGACACCAGAAAGACTTAGCCAAAGGAGGAGACAGGAAACTGAATCCTTCGGAAGATGTTTGGTATAGACAATACTTGAAAGGGGAAAAGTGGGGCAGTGGTCAAGTAGTAGACGTTAGGGGTCCTAGTAGCTATACAATTAAGGGAAAAGGTGACGAAATAATTCACAGACATATAGACCAATTAAAAAGGAGATCTTTAAGGGCATCTATGACATGTCCTTACAATGATCCTCAGTCAGATTGCAGCACAAATTCAACCAACGAGCCGACGGTGACACCAGAGGTGGGAAAGGCTCAGCCGGGTCCGTCGGCGGATCGGGATGACCGGGGGGTGGTAGAAACCTCAGAGGCTGAAATCGGCTTAAAGGAGTCGGCAAGGGAGACGACCAGTGAGAACCCGGGTTCACAGGCGTATCAGGATACCTTGCCAAACGTTGTACCGCCCACAAAGCCTCGGAGTCGCCCTATAAGGCAATGTAGACTCAAAAACCTTAATATTGATTAAGCGCTGATACAATAATGTTAAGTAATTAAGTTATATTTAAGATTAGCATAATAATAAATAAGTGTAGAGGAGTGTAATGTAGGGTAGTAGGTTAAGACTGATTATATAGGTGGCGGGTAAATTAAGATAATACAGGGAATTCATTATGGAATAAACTGTTATAGATTGCGTTACGTTCTTTGTGTTCTCTCCGGCTTTTATATACATCACAGTTATATTTATGGGCTCACCGGTTTATAGCCCATTCACCGTAAGATGTTCCCTGCTGTGATGTTGGAACTATTGCTTGTCAATCTGTTGTCAGTTTGTGATTATAACGCTCGTTTTTGTGTTATTATTTAAATTATTCCGAATTAATTATGCCGAAACCATTTAGAAGGAGTGCAAGAGAGGTTGTGTTAAAGGTGCGTGCCTTTTGTGAGAGAGAAAAGGCAAACCAAGCCCCGTTAATTCCACTCAATCAAGTGCGAACTCGCGTCGCCGCCATGACAGGTTAGTACAATAGGGATGCCAGCTTCATGCAAAATGCCTTTAGTTTGGGTAATAATAAGAAATTACTAACATTACGAATTAAAATAAAAAAGTACGTATCTCAGTTAATTTACTTTATTTTTTTGTGATAATGTCTGTATTTATATTTTATAAATATTTAATTTTATAAAATGATACAAATTTGGTGTCTATTTCAGGTATGTCGGAGAAAACCATGAGTAGAATATCTAAAGAAGTTGAAGCTGCTGCCTCTACATCTCAAAAACTCAAGTCTCCTGGAAAACACCGTCAAAGACGTAAAACGGTGGATCTTGATGATTTCGATTTATACGCAATAAGAAACAAAATCCATGAAATGTATACTGTAAGAAAAGTTGTTCCTACTTTAAATAAATTACTTGTAGAATTAAATAATGACATAAACTTTGGTGGAGGTCGAACGACTTTATGGAAAATTTTAAAACAAATTGGATTTCAGTATAAAAAGTGTGGTTCGAAACGGAAAATTTTAATGGAAAGGCACGACATAGTTGCATGGAGACGCAAGTATATCGTTACTATGAGGCAAAATTTGCAGATGGTATCGTATGCAGTGAAAAAATTTTGACAAAAAGATGACGAAGACGGGGAACTAATAAGTGATTCTGTTAGAACGCAGTGGATAATTATTAATGCAGGTGGAGAAATAGGGTTTATTCCTAATGCTCAATAGATTTTTAAATCACAAAGTAAATCAGGGGACTACCATGACGACATGAACAGAACCAATTTTATAAAATGGCTTTCAGAGAAACTTATACCCAATTTGCCTTCGAACTCCTTAGTCGTGATGGATAACGCTCCCTATCATACCGTACAAGTAAATAAAGCACCTACTATGAGTTCCTCAAAACTTCAAATGCAAAATTGGATAACAAATAAGGGATTGTCTTATATACCAACAATGCTGAAAGCAGAACTTTATGAAATTATAAAAGAGCACAAAGAAGCGCCGATTTATGAGGCTGACCAATTATTGCTTTCTCATGGCCATAAAGTGGTTAGGTTGCCCCCTTACCACTGCGATTTAAATGCGATTGAGTTTATGTGGAGTCTTTTAAAGAGACGAGTAGCCAGCAATAATGTCGGCCAAAAAGCTGGGAATATCGTGAAGTTAACTGAAGAAGCATTTTCATCTATAACCCCTCAGGATTGGCAAAAGCAGTGTGAACACGTAAAAAATTTAGAAGACAAGTTTTATGTACTTAATGGCTGTATGGATGATATTACTGATAAATTCATAATTGAATTAGGAAATGACAGCAGCACAGATTCGGATACGACAGATGATGATGACGACGTTTATGAAAGTGACAGTGATACGAGTATGTCTGGAATTGTTCCTTTCGACCATAATTATTGTCGGAAAAAATAAATCAATAAATAATTTAAAAATTAAATTGTGTTTTATGTATTACTTTGTCTTATAACTAAATGTATATTATTTAAATAAGAAAGTAAAACATATTAATCAGGGGTTTTCAAGTTTAGATAGAGATAGAAGAGATAATTTTGCCAGCAACCACCAAGTGGGGTAAATGCTCCATATATTGTTGGCAGCACCGTAGACAATGCTGCCATTTCCCAAGGCAGGGGAAATTTACGGTGAACGGTTATGGTTCTTGGTTTTCTGAGCCTATCATTTCTTTCGGAATCTTCATTATTATATGTCTTTCTTCTCAATATGTTGATGCGTGACATTGGAAAGCCCTTGGGAGATTTTGGCGACAACTCAACCCATCGAACAGTTGATGATGACAGCGACTCAAGTTCATAAGGCGCCCAAGCGATCAAAATAACTTGAGGTTTATATCGACATCAAAGTAGTTGTTTCATCGTTTTCTCTAATAGTTCACATGCGCGAATACTTAATTCACAAAATCGCATCACTTTTACAAATCAAAATCCACTTCAAACAATTATTCAAGCGACAAAACAGGAGCGACAATCCGTCTACGGCCTAGTTCCCGCCAAAATTCTCTCGTTGTTTTTTGTCTGTCAGTCAGTCCATGAAGTATAGAAATAATGAGAACCGTCTATGTTTATTAAAAAGTGTCCATAGGAAAGCGTTAGATAAGCGTAGCTAAAGGGTAAATTTTAAATAACTTTTTACTGCACAAACTTTCACTATTATTGTTTCTTATAATAATTGTTATAATGCTTACAATATTTTTATTTTCAAAATCACTCTTAACGTGTTACACGGCGACTTCTTCTAGCTTATTATACTAAATTATTTTAGACCACGTGAGTTGTTGAGGTTTTAAATACTGCAGTTTCATCAACTACATTAGTCACCACAAATATTAAATTCTTCAACTCAGCACACTTCACTCCGTGCCAAGTTCATTTCATACCCTCTAGCTACTCTAGCGCTATTGTAGAGAGTTTTTGAACTGTTATATCGGGTGGACTCATCTAATTTCGTGATGAAACCAAATACGTAATAAAACTTTGATATTTCAGTAAAATCTTCTTTTTTATTTTAATAGGAACATTAATCAGTCTTTCATTTACAATTATTAGGATACTAAACTTATTTAGGACTACTATTTCGACTTGTAGCTGATTATAGAAAACTCGTAGACTATTAAAATTTCCGGATAATCACTTTAAGCCCATGATACATACTCAAATAATTATGTTATCACGGAGTTGCATAAGCTTTTGATTTTTTTATATCACGTAATTAGAAAAATATTTCCTTGCTATAAAATAAAACATTTCACGATATTCTTTTTGCCAGATTAATTGAATAAATGTGCAACACAAGTAGTAGTCAATTTAAAAGTCCCCAATCAACCATGTAGCTTAAAAATGTTGATCATCCTCATCACTATCTGTCACACTGCTAGCGTCCCACACGAAAATTTGTTGTTGGCTTCCTCTTGGTATATCTTGACTTTGGCAATTCACATGATAGGATAACATACAATAGGAACAAGTTATCCATTCAGCTCCGTTTTCTGACAACACATTGTTGAGTACAGTCCATCCCACGTGTGACACGTCCAATCGTCTTCTGATAGTCACAGTTTGCCCTTTTTTTGAGTAATGGATTTACCTTCTCCCTTGACTGTTGTTCTTGCAAGTTTTGTTTTGGCTGTTGTGGTGTGTGGTTACTTTGCAGTTTGGAAGTAGACGGCTGAACACGTGTTAAACATTTAGCTTTAGGAACAGTCCTTTTAGAGCTCTGCTTCTTTGCTCTAGGTATCCATTTAGGTAGATCCAGAATATCGTGAACTTCAATTTTTTTGGTATAAGAGACCAAGAATTTGCTACATTTGAGTCTGCCTTCGTTAAGCATGAGGCCGTATTGCATATTGTGGTACATTCTAGTTTTGGTTCTTGTGATGTCAAACCATTGAAGGGGTTGCTGTTAATTGTTTCGATTTTATTTTTTTAATTCAAAAAAAAGTTGTTAGTAGTTGTTTTTAGTGTTAGGTATCGTAGCTTCAAGGTCTTCTTCGATCAGAATTTTTTGTATTGACTCCGTGGGAAGGAGTTTGTCTGTAAGTCGGCTGGGCACGATTGCTTCAAACCTGTTTCTTCAAACCCTGTTCTTATGTTTAATGGAGTGAAACTTCTTTCACACGCTGGATTTAAAAAAAATATGAAATTCAAAACGTTTCGGCACTTAAACTGGATGTTGCGTTTTGTACTTTTGTAATTCAGCATGCCAAGGAGCTTTAAGCACCCATATAGGGCCCCGTGCTGGCAGGAACAATAACCTTTTTAGATTGAGCATAAGCTAAGACATTCGGCGAAACATGGCTGGCATGTGAATCCGTTAAGAGCAAAACCAGCCTTACTGTACTGTCTTTTGAAATAAAAACTTCAGTCATTCCAAAAACAGATCTGCATTGATCCAACCTTTTGGAGAAAGTCGTGTCAACCTATTTGGAAGAGAAACAAAACTTATTTGTGGTATATTTCTTACCCCTTTGAAAATCGTCATCGGTGGAAGAAAACATCCAGAAGCATTGTTGGCAGCTAGTACTGTAGTGGTGGTACCTTTTTCAGCGTATGTACACATACTGTTTTCCAATCTTTGACACAATTTTGGAAGGTTTTTTTACGAACATTAATCAAGTCTCGTCGCAATTCCATATTTTATCCGGGGATTATAACAAATTGTGCTCAATCAGGGTCTTCTCTACTTTTCATAAAAGTCAGCAAGGATAGCAGGATTGGAAAAACTAGGTCAGCCAGCAGACAAATTCTCCGATGTTCGCAAAGATAAGCCATAACGTTGTTTAAAACTGACCCACCAGTTCCAACCAGCAAATACTTTCTCTGAGCTAAAGCAATGTTTAGGATTTTTTTCCTCTGTCAACGAAAAGACAATTTTTCGAATTTAATTCACTGTGGGACCAACCCCGAGCTCCTGCATTTCAATTATATAAACAACTAATTTTTACTCTATTTCAACCGGTAATGAAAACGGTCTTCCAATTTTAAACATAACAAATTGAGTTTCGATTCCTTGGCCTTTTTCTTCTTTCGCACGACGAACATTATCCTTGAGGGTAGTCCAAGAAATACTGAATTCATAAGATGCGCGACAAACAGTCATATTTTTTTATAATACATTCTCGACTGCGTTTCGCAGCGTCGCTTCATTGTATTTTCTATTTCCTCTACTATCCTCCTTTAAATCTGTAAAAAAATAATTGAAAGTCAGGGAACAATATCTAAACTCAACTCATTTAATTCCGTGACAAAAATTCTGAAAAGTTTTTTCTATGTGTCTTACATTTTTTTTTTGGTTTGATCTTGACGTAAACATTCACATTAACTCAATAAATCACAAAAGTCTATAGTTCCTACCCCAGTTTTTCTGTACATCACATTTGCCTACGTAAAATTCGTGACACATCTCCAATTCAAAACTTGAAAATTCGTTAATTTTATGGGTTGATAAAATAAGAAATTATACTAAAACCACTCACCCTTTCCTAACACAAGCCTAAGTCACAAGTCACAATCTGCACAGGTCTATCTTGAAACTGTGTAAGTTTTGTTGAAATCTATGCACATTTAATATTTATTTTTAATTACTTACCTAAACATATGGCCACGCAGCGCACAAAACTAAGCAAGGCGGACAAATCTGTTATTTGTTACTATCTCTCTCGCACGATTTGAACCAAACTTTTCAGAGAAACTTAAGATTTATTACTCTAACCTAAGGTTCATATTAAAGATGTTTATTTCTCTCAATTAACTAAGTACCAGCTTCGAAACAGACTATCACGAAAATAGGATTATCACTTATTTGCGTGAGTTTACACTACTGTTCTTACAGGATACATTTAAAATTATTTTCCATGTGAGACGGTTTTCCTTACCTCTACACTCCATGAGTCAGTCATTTTCTAATAAAAGCTGAACACGCTTGATGTCTATTGATAATATATTTTCTCACATTTATTATATAATCTAGTATAATCTCATAATCACTGACAAATGACATAAAACGGACAAGATTACATAAAAACTAGACACCAAAAGGTTCCATCCAATATAATAAAGATGACTATTTATCCCAATATGACGATTTATCCAAGCTGCAAAGAGTATAGTAATTAATACAATTGGCTGTAATGTGTAGTAGATATGAGCGTTATCAGTTTTTTATATTAACGCTTATATAACTGCTATAAAACAGTTTTTAAATATCGATATGATATGAAGCACATTTCTATAAATAAAACCTCTATTACACTATCCTGAATCAGGGTCCCTACGCCCTTAATTAAGGTGGTGTTATAAGAGTAAGGGTCCATAATAAGCGTGTCAAACTGGACCCTGTCTTCAGTGCCCTTGCCACCGTGCAATGTAATAATACTTAAGGCAGTTAGGACACTTATTCGATGCGTGACTGGGGCTGAAAATGATGCATCAATTCTTTCAAACATCGATATATCGTTCATAAACATGGTTCCTCTTGAGCGATGTTTTACGAACGATGTGTATGTCTTGCCGTCAAAGGCTACGAAATAACCAAAATAGAAGGTATAAAATTCCATTTGTTAAAAAATGCGAACGATGATTATCACAAATTTTATGTCGCTGAAAAATAAATATTCGAAAAAAAAATTTGTCAAAGTTAGATAACGTCTAAATTTTTAAAGTTAGAAGGTTAATTGAGCAGAAATAACTAAATCCCGAAATTATTTAATACGAATCAAAAAACAGGCGAATGATCTTTCAGCCGAAACTAAATATACTTGAACTTCAGGAGTGCAATTGTTTTTTTGCAATTCCATTTTCGATATAGAATTGTAGTTATTTTTATTGCGATAATTAATTGACATAAGTTTACAAATATTGAAAATGGATTGAAATTGTTTAATTGATTTTCTTATTAATAATTATATTGTTTGAGCTTCAACTTAATCAATAGCTTAAGTACAGTCTTATAGGGTAATAGTTATTTTGTAGTGAAAATTTATTTTATCGGCTTACGGTACTTCGTATTTCGCTACAATAACTTTTCTGAAATATTGATTTTGATCCATGAACGGTTATTCCCCTGTTTGTATTTCGGAATAGTATTGTTTCGTAGATGTATTCAGAAAATGCGATAATACTTAAGGTGATATGTAGAACTACCGTAAAGAATTAACGCACCACAACATAACAAATAAAACTAAAGCAGAAGAAGAATTGCATATATTACATGCGTTGAAGATGTGGAATGGCATGAAAGGGTTATTTTCCGAGCTTCATAGCCTAGCTAAGGTCTATTTGCCCATCGTGGCAACTTCGTTATTCCGTGAGCGGTAATTTTCAGAGGCTGGATCTGGTTGTCAAAATTGTTATTTTAAAATTAATTCGAAAGGAATAAACGTAAAAGTAAACAAATATATTTAATTCTTTCTTATTATATTTAATTCTTGTTTTCTGATAACTATTCGATTAAACAAATGTGTAAAAATAAAAAGTGTAAAAGTTCTTAAAATAACATAAATATAATGATTGCTTATTTATACTTCTTTGTAGCATTTCTGTTAAAAATAATTATTTATTCCATTTATATGTATGTATATAAATTTAAAGTGTGATAAAAACATGGAAAAAATCGATATATCGTATATAAGCTTCGATGTTTTTAATAAGCGATGTTGCAACCTATAGATGTGCACACTGGGAAAAATTACGATTCAAGTTAACTCGAGTTGAAATTCAAACAACTCGAACTAAGCTCAAGTTGCGCAACTGGAGTTAGCAGAACGAAACACAATAAATGATTTGTTACAATAACTTTTTATAAATTTGTTTTTCTATCTTACTTTTTGGTGGGTTGGGTAAACTATCATTACTAAACTTAGTAGGTAGGATTGAAATAAAAAGGTATATTTAGTATGTATCTTATGTATTTTTGGTTTTAATAAATTAATAATAACTATATTTAACAACAAAATTAGTATTATAGCAGTCTTCACAAAACAACATTATTCCAGTTTTAAGATTAAGGTAAATAAGCTAATAAATAGTTTAAATATTCTTAAATAACTTAGCTATCATAAAATTCTAAATAACAAATTATTTTGGTAGTAGCACTTTGAAACACAAAGCGCGCGCACACTAACACGCGCACATAAAGCTAGAAATCTTAAAGTTACAAATAATCTTTGCATAATTAATAATCACTTGCACTCTCTCTCTTAAAACCGTATTTTGTTTTTCGATATAAGGAACTAAACTTAATAGCTCCTAGAACTTATCTTCCCCTTTTCTAAATTATTCGGAATTTATTTGGCTCCAAAACTCCGATTTTGCCTAAGTTTTAAATAGTCTTTCACCCATATTTTTCTTCGCCTCCTCTTTTCTTTACTATTCGTTGTCGTGTTTATTTTTCATCTTCAAAACATCCAGTAATAAAATATTGGCCCTTATCCTACTACATCATGCAAAACATGACTAAATATCGAATTTTATCACTTGATATATATTGATATTGTGTAATAACATCGATTCAATTTATATATATACTTTTTTCAATTGCCCACCCCTATGACTGAGTAAGGGTGTAAAATCAGTGTATAGTGCGCGCAAGATCACTCTGCGCGCGACTGATGGCATACTTAATGTCGCTATCTTAACTAATATTATTTCCTTCATTTAATCTTAATACTAGAATTATAAAATGATATGAAATTATACATACGTCACCGAATTGACTACAAAAGCTCATTTAAAAAACTGTAATGTTAAGTTTAAATTTACAAAGACCGAATTTTTTAAGTCCTATATTAATTGCTTCAATCTTCGTAACAAATATATTTTTGGAATGTTACTTTCTTAAATTTCATATATTCAAATCATTCTATGGTAATACTTACGTTAATATAAATTGTTAGTTAATAACAATTTGATTTTATTTAATTATGCCTGCGAGTTTGAATAATAATATTAGTAAAAAAAAAACTAAAATACGCCCTTTACTTTTATTTTCTGTATTTTTATCAGCAAACCCTTTCATTTGATACGCATATCATAGGAATGCATAAAAAATAACCAGTCCTTCATCTTTTGGAGTCTATTATATTGGATTTAAAATGACGTCATTTATCTAACCATGCATTGTTATTCAAATTAAACGTAAATGCAAAAATTTCAGCCCAATCGAAAAACGAGAAATTGGCCAAATTAAACTTCCAGTTTTTTTCACATGATTATAGGAAAATATATTAGTGTATTAGAAATTACTATTATTAAGTTTATAAACACTGATATTTTATCTATAGTAAATTTTTAAAATTGTATTTTGGAACAGAGATGGTATAGCATTATAAAATTTATTATAAAAAATGAAATTAAAAGTCCATGCAAACTTTGTAGGTCTTTTATTAGTCTAACGCAGTTTCATAATGTATTGTGCTGTCCAATATCACTGCGTTCTATCAATACTTTTCATTTAGAATGGCACATTTTGTAATTGTAGCCATATTTAAAATCAATATCAACTTTCATTTCCAACCAGTCTATTTATGGTAGTTATCTCTTTCTTCACGACGTAAAACATACGTAGCACCCGTATCAAAATCGTCTAAATCATCCTAGTTTTTCCCTATGTCACAATTTTAGAAGCTACATTACCCTCTTGAGTTATTTGGGTGACGGTTTGTTCAGAAACGCATAAAACAAAATAAAAACAATGCATTATATGCATTATAACTACATTATATTAATGACACAAGGAAAACTAAAAACGAATAACGAACCGAAAAAATTGGGGAGTTTTATTGTTATGGCAGACCTAAAAATTACCTGTCAAATATGCAGAGCGGACTCTAATTTTAGAAAATTGTACTGTAGGATCGCTTCTTCTTCATAATCACGTTTGACCTTCAATATAATATGCCTTCCAGCACTTTTATCACTTTCGGCACAATGATGATGGTTGTTTATTGCAGAAACTAATAAAAAAATGGCACTTAACACACTCTTATTACTGACACCCGCTATAAACAATAAGATGGCTCCATTTCCGATTTGGCCGCGCGCAAGTTTCTTGCGCGCACTCTAGTTCATTAACTGACGCCCAATTAAGGGTAGTGTAATAGGCGAATTACCGTTTCCGGAATTGTAGTTGTCAGCTGTCTGCTAAAGTTCAAATGTGCATAATACATAACAAAACTTATTTAAAAAAAATCAGCATGTGCCATTATTTACACAAATGCATCTCGTAAAGTGTTGTTTTTGATAAACACTTGACATTAGACTTTAGAAGATAAAATCTTCATGTTACATGTTACAACAAAATGTAATTTAAAATAATAGGTTACTGTTTCGTCATTTGCATTTAGGTTAGTAACCAAAAAAAAAAACAGCTAACGAAAAAGGCAGCAGAATCCAGCAGATATTCGCTTCTTCTCGTTTTCACAACGGGTAGGGTCATCAGTTACACTGTGATCGACAGAGAGTGCGAATATCTAGTAGGTTGACAGCACAGAACACTATTACTCCTATCGGAGGTTGACAGTTACGTTACTTCGTCGCGTAACGGAATGGATACGAATTTTCGATATGAGAAGTTGTTACGTTAGGATTCGTTACGATTGTGCGTTGTTGTAAAAACAGTTTTCATTGTGCAGTATAACGATACGATATGTTGTATTGTGTAGACCGTTTTAAGTTACGTTTTGATTTATAGGACTCATACCTAGCTATGCAGTAAGTAGTAATAGGTAATCTGTGGATGAACGATTGATTGAAGGAATGAGTTTTGGCGGGAATTTGGCCGTAGACAGATTGTCGCTCCTGTTTTGTCGCTTGAATAATGGTTTGAAGGGTATTTTGATTCGAAAAAGTGATGTGATTTTGTGAATTAAGTGTCCGCCCGTGTGAATTATTAGAGAAAACGACCAAAAAAAGTGCTTTTATATTGATATAAAACTCAAGTTATTTTGATCGCTTAGGCGCCTTATGAATTCGAGTGGCTGTCATCATAAACTGTCCGCTGGGTTGAGCTATCGTCAAAATCCCCCAAGGGCTTCGCAATGTGACGCATCAGTATATTGTAAAGAAAAAGTATATAAAAATGAATATTCCGAGAGAAATGATCTCAGAAGGACTAGAACCCAGAGCCGTAAAGCCAGGTTAATTAAAAAGTCAAAGTCAATAGAATGACGGCCAGCCCTAGCATCTGTCGCAGTCGTCTGTCCCCGTCAGTTCATCATCATCATCATTACAGCCCTTCACAAGTCCACTGCTGAACATAGGCCTCCCCCAAGTAATGCCACAAAGCACGGTCCTGAGCCACCTGCATCCATCGACTTCCTGCATGTCTTACCAGGTCGTCACTCCATCTAGTGGGGGTCGCCCTACACTACGCCTACCGGTACGAGGCTGCCACTCGAGAACCTTTCTTCCCCATCGGTTATCGGTTCTTCGAGCTATATGGCCGGCCCATTGCCACTTCAGCTTACTAATCCGTTGGGCTATGTCGGTCACTCTGGTTTTACTGCGGATATCCTCATTTCTGAGTCTATCACGCAGAGAAACTCCGAGCATAGCCCTCTCCATAGCTCGCTGAGCGACCTTAAGCGTCCTCATACGGCCAGCAGTGAAGGACCACGTCTCAGATCCGTAAGTCATCACTGGCAACACTTGCCCCGTCAGTTGCTACATATTTATTTGTCTATGCCCGTCAGGGTAAATGTGTTCTGTGCTTCTGTCAAGTGAAAAAATGTCAACTTATTTTGCTTTGTAGTGTTACGTTTATTTTAGATGTAATTATTACAAATATCTAATTTTTAACAATATAATGTGTTACGATGGCTTCGGTAAAAGTGGCTGTAAGGGTTCGCCCGTTCAATCAAAGGTGGGTGTGGTGATTTTTCGATAATTATACGAGATTAAAAATTATTTGTAACAAAATCAGAGATATATATTTGTAAGTTGCAATACAATTAAGTATGATTTATTATTTATTATTAATTCAGTAAGAGAGGAAATTATAAAAACATTTTCACAATTATAGTATACTGATTCGAGTAATAACAAGATATCGCAAGGGTTGAAATGTGTTCCTATTTCGTCTTTTGAAAGTACAAAAAGTCTATGATGTCATGAAGAATGACTTTCACGGTTGGTCTGCATTTGGAACGCGAACTGTACTTTGAGAGATCATTTAAATGAAAGTTACCGAAAAAACCGTAAAGAGTTTCTGACCCAGATGCAGGGAACTGTAAATGCTTGTGTTTTATTAGAGCAAAGTGTTTTTAAAGTAACAAATAGTTTATTTCCTTTTGTTTACAAACATAACTGTATGCTTACACTTGAATATCAATATTATAAACTGATGAATTATTTTTCATAATTATAGAATTTAATAATTAAACTCATAAAACACAAAATGTTATGATCTCAAACAAAGTTAATATAAATAAATATAATTAGAGATAATATGATGAAGAAGATATAATGAGAATGAGTGTCCTGTTTCAATATCCTAATGTTGTCATATCAATTAAAGGTTATTTATGTATTTTCTATTATATTCCAAATGTGTGATTGAACTATATTAATTTAAGCACTATACATATATTTAGAATTCATTGGTAGCTGCATAGCAAGACACACAATCATACTATTATTTAACATTTGAGCTTAGTTTTCAAAATATGCTTCACAGTATTCACCCAGTTTATATTTTAGTACATGTTTAGCTTCTTGGAACTAGGTGCTGTACTATGGGATGGACTCATTTTATGCCTAGGAGTCAGTTGTGTATTTCCACCACCAAATAGAGTTGCTTGCACTACTGTGTTCATTGATGAAGGGTATAGAGAGCCAGTATAGCTACAACTTTTTTTTAAAAATAGAATAAGGGTGACAAACAAGCACACAGTCCACCACATGTTAAGTGGAAGCTGTGTCCCATTGACATCTACATTTATCCTCGCTTAAGAATCAAAAAGCCGATGCTTTGTCACCCCTGAGGACTTAAATGGAATGCCTCTTTTACAGTAATAAAGGGTCTCTGGATCTTTACACTCACCATATGAAACAGCAGTATTAAGCTGCCATTTTGTGCTGGTATTCTGTGAGAGTGTGGTCCTTCCTCGGTCAACCTAACAAATTTATACTGCAACCATAATATAGCTGCAGCATGGCTCTACCATGTATCAAGCTGTGAAGTATTTTGTCTTAGTTCTAAGAGGTGAAAATGCATCTGTAGCCTTATTTGTCTGAAGTTGCCTGCAAGTGTCCATAGACAGTCAGAATCACTTATTATCAGTTGTACTATAAGTTTGTGTATTACTTCAGTTTTAAAAGTGTTCTATTACTAATAAATACTTGGGTTTTTATTAGACTTGCAACAAAAAGTAGATTTGGCCACATGCCGAATACCTTATATTCTACAGATTTCCTGGCCGAATAGCTGAATTATAGGCAAAAGTATTCAGCCACGAAGTTTATTCTTCAGAGTGTCTATTCTCTGAAACTGGGATTGTCTACGAGAAGAAAAGGAGTAAACTACTGCCTTAAAATGAAAAAAAAAAATAGTTTTCTGCACCATTATCTTCCACTTCAAATTACAATAATTCGAGTGCATAGATATTTATCTGATAGTTCTTTTATAATTTTTATAATATGCTAATTGATTATGTACTAAATATTTTCCATTTTACAAATTTTCTGACTACAATAAAACCTCTTACTTAAGTATTTGACCGAATTGTTCCTAGATATTCAGTATTTGGCCGAATAGAATAAAAGTTGCTAAATAGGCCGAATACCAAATAATAGCTGAATATGCATTGTAAGTCTATTTTGTATGTATTTGCATTAAACAAGTTAGTAAAGACACATAGCATATTTATTATTTTTTCAATACAGGATTATAATCAAAATCTGAGCGATAACCATTTCAATGTATTATTTCTACTTTTCTTCAGATCTTCAACTAAATATAATAATATATATATATATATATATATATATATATATATATATATATATATATATATATATATATATAACACATATATTTATATATTACAGAATATATGAATGATACTATAATATGAGAAAACTATTCTAAAAGTTCTATTTTTATGTAATTGTTATTATATTAAATCTTACAAAAGATATTATGAAACACTGGTAGTAAAATTTACTACTCACTTCGGGTGGACTGAAAGTTTATAATTTTCCTTTTTTTTCAATCTTTGTTATATACATTAAGTAATATTACAATAAATATGTACTATTGTGATAACTTGTAAAAAGTGGATGACTATTATTGACCTTATGTAAAGATATATTATATAAGAATAATGTATCATGGAATGTAGGCTGTTGTTATCTCTAATAAAGTAGATAAACTGGTATGGTTCACTGATCTGCCCTTAAAAGGAATTGCAGAATTTGCCTTGTTGTCTTATTTGAACTACTAAGGGCTGATCTTTTAATTGTCAAATAAAGTTATCCATGGAATAAATTATAACATGATTGAATATAAGAGAAAAAAAATGAATTATTGTATTCATACAACTGTATTTTTTAATTTGGTTATGTTACATTTTATTATGGGAATAAATTTTATCCGATAATAGAAAAATTGCGCCTTAGTCTTAAAATAGTCTTGTGGTGGTAAACCCAATGTTTATTACTTAAATTTTTTTTGGAGGACTTACAGCTATATTTGCAATCTAAATCACTTTATTAGAATTTTTATGCTAATAAAAAGCTTCTACATACATAGTGTGTCCGGTCACAGACTAGCAATATTCTAGGTACATATATAACAACTATTTGAATATATAAATACACCACCAACTCAGGTCTGATCCCCTTCCCCTCTATGTGACAGTCATTTTGTTTTTTTTTTATTGATATATTGTCTACATGTGTTTAAAAAAATCATATCTCTCAAAGTTTTGTTCTTACGGAGATAAAAATGGGCTCATTCAGAGGGCAACAATATTATCTATCAAATACATTATGAAAAAATTTGTTTACATACTTGTACTTTTAAAAATAATAAGTTCAAATAAATATCAATTATTATTATTAGCAAAATTCAAATTGTAAATTACTTCAAAAACAACCCAGATTACCCTTTTTATTTTTTTACTATATTGACAGATTTTGAGCTTAACTACAATAAAACATTAAGTTTACAACTCAATGTTTATTATTTTAAGAATTTTTGTTGTTTGAACATAGCCTATGCACAAACACAAAGAGCCTCTCTGTCATAAGTTCATTGTTCTATTTTCTCTCTATCTCTATATTTTGTATTCTTTTTATTTTTGAGGCAAATCTCAACTATGGTTTGGTCGCTTCTGGAACATAGCATCATGCTTTAAGCAGGAGTGCTACCAAGCCTGGGCTGACCCATCAACGTCCCGGGATGTAAATACCAGCACTCTAAAAAAGAAGTATAATTCCGCCTCCAGGTCCTTCAAAAAAGTCATTGCCAAGGCAGTCAGAGCACATAGGCAGAATTGGCGAGAAACTAGTTCGCTTTCTTTCTGGAACTCGTGCATTCTGGTCTCCCGCCAAGGCTGTCCAGGGGAATTTCTGTCAGCCATCTCTTCCATCTCTGCACAGGGAGGACGACTCACTGGCCCATACCGCAAAGGAGAAAGCCGATCTGCTAGGCTCTTTTTTTGCGTCCAACTCGACTCTCGATGACGGGGGGAGTACGCCGCCGACCATCCCGCGTTGTGAGTGCTCTATGCCGGAAGTACAGTTCACACAGCGCTCGGTTCGCAAAGCACTCCTCTCCCTGGACATCCACAAGTCGAGTGGGCCTGACGGATTCCCCCAATTGTGCTAAGAATGTGTGCTCCAGAGTTGGCACCGGTTTTAACGCGTCTTTTCCGGTACTCCTAATCCCTTGCTTTCGTCCATCCGATCCCTAAAAAAGGCGACCGCACAGACCCATCCAACTACCGCCTTATCGCCATCACTTCCTTGTTCTCCAAAACAATGGAGTCCATTGTAAACTGCCGGCTCATGAGGTACCTTGAGGATCACCAGCTCATTAGTGATCGCCAATACGGTTTTCACCGTGGTCGGTCAGCTGGTGATCTTCTGGTCTACCTAAATCACAGATGGACGGAGGCAGTAGAGTCCAAGGGGGAGGCATTGGCCGTTAGTTTGGACATTGCGAAGGTCTTCGAACGGGTTTGGCACAAAGCGCTTCTTTCGAAGCTCCCTTCCTATTGGCTTCCCGAAAAATTATGCATTTGGATCACCAGCTTTCTTGCAGATCGGAGCATCAAGGTCGTTGTAGACGGTGCAAGCTCCGATACAAGCCTATTAATGCTGGTGTTCCACAAGGCTGCGTGCTATCGCCAACGTTGTTTCTTCTGCATATCAATGTTATGTTGCAAACCCGTAACATTCATTGCTATGCAGACGACAGCACTGGTGATGCTCTGTACACCGGCCGTGCCAATATTTCTCGGGAAAACGTCTCCGAGTACCGGGACAAACTTGTGTCTGAAATCGAGGCTTTGCTGAACAGACTCTCGAATTGGAGGCGACTAAATCTAGTCCAGTTTAACCCTCAGAAGACACAAGTTTGCGCGTTTACCGCTAAAAAGAACCCCTTTGTCGTATCTCCTCAGTTTCAAGGCACTCTCCTTGTTGCCTCAGCCGGTATCGGAATTCTCGGCGTTGACATATCGAATGACGTGCAGTTTCGTGGTCATTTGGAAGAGAAGGCCAAATTGGCCTCTAAAAAGCTTGGCGTGCTCAGCAGAGCGAAACCGTATTTCATGTCTGCACAGCGCCTGCAACTTTACAAGGCGCAGGTTCGGCCGCACATAGAATACTCTTCCCATCTCTGGGTTGGAGCTCCCCAGTACCAGCTCCTTCCACTTGACCGCATCCAGCGCAGAGCGGCTCGAATCGTCGACGACCGAGTGTTTTCCGATCGGCTCGATTTACTGGCGTTGCGAAGAGATGTTGCATCTCTTTGCATTTTTTTTCGCATATACCATGGGGAGTGCTCTGAGGAATTGTTCGGATTAATCCCGGCCGCCAAATTTCGTGAACGTTTTACGCGGCAAACGTCCCGATACCATCAACACCATCTGGATGCTTGGCGTTACACTTTTTCTTCCGCGTACGACCTTTCTGTAGAATAGTTTACCACCGGCGATTTTTCCGGACCGATACGACCTGGGGACCTTCAAGAAAAGAACTTACTCCTTTCTAAAGGGCCGGCAATGCACCCGCAATTTCCTTGGTGTTGCGGTTGATCATGGGCGGCGGTAGTCACTTAACATCAGGTGAGCTGCATGCTCGTTTGCCCCCTCTCCTATAAAATATTTTTACTAACTTCAAAAGGAACGAAGTATTCAATTCCACTGTGTTTTATGTGTGTTACCTCATAACTTTTTTCTGAGTGAACCGATTTTGAAGATTCTTATATATCTGAAAGCTGGTGCTTCTCGTATGGTCTCATATAAATTAAATTAAGTTCTGACCAGTAGTTTTTGAGTTATCTTTAATAATGCGTATTTAATTGACTTTGAATACATTGATGATGTTCTTATTTTATTTATACTGAAGTCAGTTGTACAAAATTTTTGATTTTAGGTACTACCTGTTACTTTATAAGCTCAAAAGAGTACTCTGTTGGACAGACCTCTAACGTAGGAGGCGCTTAGCTTTAATGATCATGAATCATGATTGATAGACAGATTGGTGATCGTAGTACTACATGCTATGCACCTGGGATGTTATTCACCATTCTCTTCAAAATATAGTGTTTGACTTATTATGTCTTTTTTTGCAGAGAGAAGGACATGAACGCCAAACTTATTGTGCAAATGGATGGCAAGAAGACAAGACTACTCACTGTAAAAGTAAGTTCTAATTTCTGATAAAATTTTCACATTTTTCTCGCTGGCAGATGAATTTACAATTCATGTACTAAACAATTTGCATGCTTGATATACATGATATGGTATGATATATATGACGTGGTATGATATAATACTGTGTTGAGGCAAAATGTTCTGTGCACCAAAATATCATTTCCATTCATCTCTTATTCATTTATTTATTACAACTTATTAAAAGTCATACATAGGCTACGCCTATGCCTGTTTGGCAGGTGAGTAGATACGTAACCGTATTTTTTATTGAGTTGTTATTAGAAAGGCACAACTATACTCTTCTGTTTCTTCTGATGAAATGGAGTAGTGAATTATTTTCCGCCGCGTATTTGGAGTAAAGTTTTAATTTTATTCAATCAAGACCGTTATCATTTATCATAACGACAAATTGTACAAGTACTAGACTACAAAAAGATATTTACCATAGTATACAGAGTTTGAATTTACAAATAAAGTAGCTAATGATAATTTAAATTACCTTAACAGCATTTTTACTAAGAATTCCATTTCGCACGTGACCGTGTAATTAAAAAAAATATGGAGGCGTCCACGCACGTGAAACCGCGGGCTAATGTAGTATAATATATGTTTAGTTTAAGTGTAAGAGGAGCTATAATTCAAAATCAAATGAACAATGGAGTTTTGAAGTCGTAAATAACAACTTAAAATTATATTTAATTTCGTTAAAGGAAGGTCAGCAAAGAATGCATGTATTAAAACTATTATTATTACTTGCTCTTTGAGCCTGGGAATATTTCCATGGCACTAGATGTCTTGTGATCGCCTCAAGGTGTATGACCGTATATATGTATAATGCCGGCTGTACACGCTCGTCGAGACACCATGAGACAGGCCGAGTACGAGCGTGTACATAGTGCTCTCGTCGCGTCGAGTCTCGTGGACCTCGTTCGCTCTCGTAAGCATGTCGGTTTTTTGGGCTCGAGTCAAAGGGTCTCGTGAGTCTCGCGATGAAAATGAGAGCGTACTTATATTATATTCACCGTACATGGTTCCTTTACTGTAAATAGGAACTATCCACCTTCTTCTTCTTTGCCGTGGCTTATTAATTTTATTTTTAAGGTAAATCTGTAAAAAGTTATATGAACTATTAGCACAAAGGCAAAACGCCGCAACAGTTTCATCTAGGTCCATCTCAGCGGGCATACGGAGTTCAAATGATACAACGAGTGTGTATATGGTGTGTTCTCGTGTCGAGCCTCAACACGACGAGAGGCACGCGAGGCGACGAGCGTGTACAGCCGGCATAAGATTTTATCATATCACTGTGTTCCCATGTGTCGGTGTGTCATCGGCTTTTGTAATATGATGATGATTATTTGACTGTAAAAAGAAAGAAGTTGTATGCTTTTTATATGTATTTTACGCGATCTTCGGTAATGGTGATTTTTATTTAGTAAACTAGTACCTTATTATCTTTCCTTATTTTAATACACCCCACCGGTTATGTATTTTTTTTTATTTAATTCTTCTTCTGTATTGTCTGAAAAAGTTTGTTATGTGTAGCCATGAGACCGCCTTTTATTTTTCCATTAATATTTGTTTTTTGTACGTGGTAGAGCTATGCTGCAGTTATATTAGTAGCATAGTAGCATAGTTGTAGCACGAATGGGTCGGCTCGACCGGGGAAGGACCACGCTCTCACTGAATACCAGCGTAAAATAGCAGTTCAAATATTTTATTCATAAAAAGCCTATTAAATGTAAATAAAAAAAAATTAAAAACCGTCTCGTGCCAGTTGAGTTGGCGATCAATTTGCCAGACCTACCGCACCGTCAGTTTTAATTCTAGTCAGACTTTTTCCTTGATCAAAAATCATCAAATAAAAATATAGAACTTATAAGCAGCTGACCAAACAGCACACAAAAAAACTTTAACCTTGATAACCTTGATAGTAAATGTTCACTGTCTACTGAATGGAACGATTCCGTCTGTGTCTTGCATACTTTGCATATTGTGGAGAAAACTGATTCAGATTTTAAAATATTCTTTTTAACGGTTATTTATGGATAGTATGTTTATATGTTCATTTGCTTGTTTTTGTTTTAAACATTATCTTACATATTTATGACATGTTGCAAACCAGTAACATTCATTGCTATGCGGACGACAGCACTGGTGATGCTTTATACACCGGCCGTGCCGATATTTCTCGGGAAAACGTCGCCGAGTACCGGGACAAACTTGGGTCTGAAGTCGACACTTTGTTGAACAAAGTCTTGGACTGGGGGCGACAAAATCTATCTATATCTAGAGCAGGACAGTATTTTATGCCGGCTCAACGCCTGCAACTTTACAAGACGCAGGTTCGGCCGCACATGGAATACTGTTCCCATCTCTAGGCTGGGGCTCCCCAGTGCCAGCTGCTTCTTCCTGTTGTCACGATTGGAATGCCTCCTTCCATTTGATCGCATCCAGCGCAGAGCAGTTCGAATAGTAGGCGACCGAACTCTCCGATCGGCTTGACTCACTGGCTGCAGTATGAACCGGAAACCTTGTTTTTTACAATAATTAATAATTAATAACTTACAATTTAAAATTGTATTATAATTCTACAATAATGTAAACTTGATACAGTTCTGAGTTTTTTAAAGCAATTTTTCTGACAAATGTGCCTTAAATATTTTAATTTTTCATAAATTTACCATCGTTTCAATTTTGTATAAAACAATGTTTAATTTTTAGGAAACAGAATACATAATACATAACATACATAAACACTCACGCCTGTCACCCAGAGGGGTAGGCAGAGACTACAGACTTCCATTTGGCACGATCCTGACACACCTCTCTCGCCTCCTTCACATCCATACACCTCCGCATACATGCTCGTCGGTTAAGGGTACTCCTAATTTGGCCCGTTTTCAATAAATCGCCAATTTGGTCGATAAATTTTCGCCTAGGACGTCCCTTTCCGACTCTGCCATTCACTTCTGCAACATAAATTTTCTTTGTCACTCTTTCCTCATTCATTCTTTCCACATGACCAAACCACCGAAGCATTCCTTTCTTAATCCTGGTCACAACATCATCTTGCAAACCACACTCTTCTCTTATTACACAATTTCTTATCCTGTCATTAAGATTCAGCCCTAACATACTCCTTAACGACCGCATTTCTACTGCGTTCATTCTACTCTCGTGCTTCTTCTGCCACACCCAACTTTCACTACCATATGTTAAAGTAGGGACCAACACAGCATTGTGAATTGCCATACGTGCCTTTTTCGACACATTTTGACTCTTCACAATAGAGTGCAGGGCCCCATTTACTCTATTTCCCGCATTCACTCGTCGTTCTATATCCTTATCATATCTCCCATCCCTGCTAAATACGCAGCCCAAATATACAAACTCATCTACTTGCTCGATCAACTCCCCTTCTATTCTTATTTCACAAATCGTTTTACTTTCTTCTCTTTCAAAAACCATAACCTTCGTCTTACTTGCGTTCACTTTCATACCCCTTTCTTTTAATGATCTGTTCATTAATGTAACCATCATTTGCAACTCGGCCGCCGACGACGCAAGTATAACTTGATCATCGGCGTACAAAAGGCATTTGACGGTTAACTCACCCATTCTTAATCCGCATTCTTCAACTTTCAAATTTTGCAAACAACTGTCCATAAATAGGTTGAACAGCCACGGGGAAGCTACACAGCCCTGTCTGACACCTTTATGGATGTCAAACCAGTCCGAGTAGACCCCGTTGATCCTAACACAAGCACTAGAGTCCCTATAAAGGGACTCCAATGCCCGTATCAAGCCAGCGCTCAACCCAAATGAATTCAGTGTTTGCCATAGCACATCCCTATTCACTCTGTCATAGGCCTTTTCCAAGTCCATGAACGCACAAAAAACCTTTTGGTTTTTGGCCAAAAACTTCTCCGCGATCATGCGCATGGAAAAGACTTGATCTGTACATCCCATTCCCTTTCTAAATCCTGCTTGCACATCCCAAATTTTTCCATCAGTTTCTTTCATGACTCTTTCAATCAGTACCTTAGCATACAGTTTTCCCACAATGCTAAGAAGGCTGATGCCACGGTAGTTTTTACAGTCCTGCTGCGACCCTTTTCCCTTATATACTGGGACTATCACGGCTTTGCACCAGTCTACCGGTACCCGCTTCAGTTCCCAGCATAAATTAAACAAGGTGTGCAGCAGGCCTGCCACCACTTCCTCTCCAGCCCTTAGCATTTCGAGTGAAACTCTATCATATCCGGCAGCCTTACCTGCTTTCATGCTTTTCATTGCTTTCATTATTTCACCTACACTAATCTCGCTACCTCTTTCCTCTTCTTTCGGAATTTCTACTTCACTTAGTACACACGTTGTCTCCTCACTCATAAACACGCTTTCAAAATATTCCTTCCATCTCTTTAAACTCAAAACTTCATCATTCAGAATATAGCCATTCTCGTCTCTTATAGCATTCATCATAGGCTGTTTTGAATGTCCCCTGGCAGTTCTTACAAGTTTCCAGAACATTTTAATATTTGCCTGGAAATTATCCGATATTCTTCTATCATTCTTATCCGTTCTTTCTTGCTTTTTTCTTTCAACTACTTCTTTTACTCTCTTATTAAGATGTCTAAAGACTGCCTTTTTTCTTTCAATATCATCATTCGTACCGCTAGAATTACCAGCCTTTGTTGCTAGTAAATCTAGCCATGCTCTCTTCTTTGCTTCAACTTCCATACGTACCTCATCATCCCACCATAACGTATTATTTTTCCTTTCATTCTTTCTCTTACTAACACCACATACTTCGGTAGCTGCATCCACTAAACCTTTCTTTACATTTTGCCATACATTCTCCAAGTCTAACTCCTTCATACATAATTCATCCAAACCACTTATATTTTCTTTCAGTCTACATTTGAACTTCTTTTTTCTCACCTTCATCTTGTAACCTTTCTGTTCTAATACGCTGTAACGCAGTGGTAGACACAGATGACCGATGGCGCCAACGCCTGAATAGACCATTAATTCGGCATAGAACCAAATAATGATCCGTTCCTACGTTAGAACCCCGGTAAACCCTTGTATCTACAACTGCGCCCCTCAATCTTTCATCCACAATTATCAAATCTATCATGCTTCTATCGTCACCTCTTTCCCAAGTATACATGTGAATCCTCTTGTGGCGAAAGCAAGTGTTCGTCACAAAAAGATTCTTTTCCATACATACGGTGAGGAGACTTTCACCATTCTCATTTATACTTTCATCACCAAACGTTCCCAATATCCTTTCATAACCAAGCCTCCTCACCCCAACCCTTCCATTAAAATCTCCTAGCATAATAATATTTTCATTTCCCTTACACTCCATTAACACCATCCTTACCATTTCCCAAAACTGCTCTCGGATATAAGTGGGCTTAGACATGTCTGGGGCGTAGACCCCTAACACAAACAACTTCTTTAAGCCCACTTTCATTCGTATCCACAGCAGTCTTGGGCTTACACATTCATACTCTTTCACACATTGGCCCATTCTTTCTGAAAGGATGATACCTACTCCCTGGCATGCCCGCTCGATCTCGTCTACACCAGACCAGTATGCGGTATACATGCCATGTGTAGTGACATCCTTTCCCTTCCTTTTCGTCTCATTTACACATAACACATCTATTCCTCTATCATTCATCATATCGCATACTTCATCCATTTTATCATTCATTGCCCCACATACATTCAACGTAGCCAGACGGACCTCTGCAATCCACTTTTCGCCTCTCCGGGAGACAGAACGTGACGGGTGGCGAACCTCGTCGCCGGTTTTCCTCCCGGAGATAGGAAACAGAAATATGTAGGAATTAAAAACGTAGTAGATAGGGCTCAGAACGTGGTAAATCAATGCTTAAAATTTCACTTCACAATGTTTGCGGTTCCGGCTGTGATTGACTTCAAGTTATTTGCGTACAATATGCTTGATTACTTATAAGGAATATTTTATTCAATATAAAATATACAAATCGCCTATTTGTCTACAGAATAGCAAAGAGCAAAACGATGGCAGCCGAGAGAAGTACAAGGATTTCACATTCGACCATTCCTACTGGTCCTTTGATCATGGGGACAGCCACTACGCTTCTCAAGAACAGGTGAGTGGATAGAGAATAAAGTTGTATAACAATATTTAGGTTAAAGATCTCCATTATTTCTCAAAAGATTACTAACATATATGAGTAAGAGAAACTAAACAACCAAAAAATAAATATATGGATAAAGTAGATCATTACGAGCATACAGAATAATATTTTATTGATGTAGGTGAAACTAGGTTTTTTGGAATTGTAGTCTTTTTCACCGACTTCAAAAAGGTTTTTCTTTTTATGTGATATTGACGATTCTTATTTTATTTGAAAGCTGGTATTTCTCGTGTGGTCTCATATAAATCTGACCAGTAATTTTTGATTTATCCTCAAATAAGGCGATGACTTCGAATACATTGATTCGGTCGTATTGAAGTCGGTTGTACAAAATAATTAATTTTACCACCTTTTTAAAATTAAATTGAGAAACAAGGACATGTTAACCATAGGCTTGTAACACAAAAAAATCAGGTAACATACGAGCCGAGGGTTTATGATAGGGTATGTATATGAGGGGATATGATCCTTATCAGTCTCAGTATCTTTCCTAGTGTAGCAGTGTTGTGTTGTGACCGCCTCGTAGGTCTGGTGGTTGTAGTAGTGCGACTGCTGATCATGAGGTCCTGGGTTCGAATACCGGGTCGGGTCAAAAAATTAATTATTGAGTTTTTCCGTCAAAAAAATTCTCAGTAGTTGCCCGGAGTCAGGAAGTTGGCGGTGTCTCACCCCCGTGCCTCGGAAAGCACGTAAAGCTGTTGGTCTTGCGCCTGATCTCTCTCCGGTTGTATGGGTTTACCGTCCCATCGGATTATGAGAGTGGGGGAATAGAGTGCACCTGTGCTTGCGCATAAACTTGGGCACTATAATCCTGTTCTGCGCCGATAGCTAGTCCCCGTTGAGGCAGGCCGCCGTGACCGAAATTCGGTCTGAAGGATATTATTATTATTAGTGTTGGGAGTAGTGGTACTGAGATTAGTGATGACGGGGATAGTACATTGAGGGAGGCCGGAGTTGGTCTTCAAACTAGGTAAGACACATCGTTTTATTTCATTGAGCGGATGCGGGTGAAGTAATTATTGCCAACTTTAATATGATGGGTATCCACAAAGTAACGCCTGATTCTATTAGTATGAAATATTTTATCACCCCAATTAGCCAGCTCTGCTAGAAAGTAATCACATTCAAGCCTCACATTGTTTTGGTAGGAATGTGCTCATCAGGAGAATTCTAACAGATTATATTGTCTAATAAGAAAGAATTAAGATTATGTACGTAACACTGACTTTTATTCTAGCTGACCTTTTTTACCTTCTGGAAAAAAATAGGGTGTAACATGTGAACAGAGTTGAAGCATATGGCAATGATATTTTACAAAAATAAAAACAAACATTTTGAATTAAATAAATAAATAAATTTAAATCTTTCGAAATTCAAATCATATCCATCCTCAACTTTAAGAACGGCAATAAAAAAATTAAATTAGTGGGCATCTTTGACCTTGTAACTTCCGAGGGTCGCAGGCTGGGGTGGATATGATTTGAATTTCGATAGAATTTAATTAATTAATTTAATTTAAATTTTTTGTTTTTATTTTCTGTAAAATATCAGTGCCATAAGCTTCTACTCCATTCACATGTTACGTACACCCTATTTTTTCCAGACAGTAAAAAAAGGTCATCTAGTAAATATACTAGTACGCATACATAACAAACACCAACACATAAATATGGAAGAGTAATATTGTTTAACTAATTGTCCAAAAGCCAAATGAGTATTGTCTTTAAGATTGTCCGAGTATCTACTATTATTCAGCGACAAAACCTTGGAAACTTTGGTAAACTTTGCGAATTTTAGTAATTGATTTGTTTTTGTATATCTTGGAATGGTTAACACTAAGCTTTGTGATAGCCATTATTGAAAGTTACGATACCTACCCAACAAATTTTGATTTGCTCTATATTTGACAGTTAACTCACGTAGAAATAAAAACTATATTTTCATAGTGTACTACATTTCATTTTATGATTTTTGGGGTTTTTCTTTAGGACCTTACTTAGTCTGTACAAATGAATAAAATTTAAGTGTCGGTTTATAATGTACAAAACAACAGTTTTTTACTAAGTGCATAATATGAAAGTATATACGGTATTATACGGGGTAGAGCCAAGCTGCGGTTGTATTAGTAGTATAGTTGTAGCACGAATGGGTCGGCTTGACCGGGGAAGGACCACGCCCTCATAGAACACCACCAGCGTAAAATAGCAGCGTAATGCTGCTGTGTTTCGTATGGTGAGTGTAGAGAACCGGAGACCCTTTTTTACTGGAAACGAGGCATTCCATCTTAGTCCTCACGGGTGACAACTCATCTGTATTTTGATTCGTAATCGAGGATATGTAGATGTTTATAGACCATAGTAATCCACTTACCATCAGATGGACTGTGTGCTCGTTTGTCACCCTATCCTATGAAAAAAGGAAGGAATTAAACCACGAAAAAATGCATCCTGTAAAACACAGAAAGGTACCACTTTGCGCCTGTACTCGAGACTGGTAAGATTGGTTCTAACCATATTGGTTTCTTTCCTTCTTTCTTTCCATTCAGATCTAAAGTCGGTAGAATGCATTTTGCACCACCAGTCCGTATATGGCAGCAATACTGCAATACTGAAATATCGCCACGCCTTCTGCAAGGACACCTAACATATCTATTACATATGTCTATTAAGGTGGGTCCACGATAGACGAGTCGAGCATGAGCTGAGCACAAATTCGTGTAATGTGGACCGACGAGCCTCTAACTAGCGAAAGAGCGCGCTTCGAGCGTTTGACTCGACTTCAAATGCATCGGTTTGCATGTTGTAGGCTCGTTGTACGTCCACACTTGTGAGTAGAGCAGCTCGGCGTGTGCTCGGCTCCTCTAGCGTAGACCCACCTTTAAATTGGTAGTCACATCTGAAGCTCAAACCAAACAAAGACTAAGGTTATTTTAGAACTACTACACTATTTATCTTTATTAATTTCATATCATGGTGTTTAAGTTTTAAATTTAAACCTACCATCGAAAATAATTCAGAAAAAAATGGCAATCGAATGAGTATTATGCGTAGTAAAAACTAAAGAAACAGATTGTGCGCTGGTCCCTCCCTCCCCTTTCCACCATCGTAAAACCGTTGTTGACACTCCACGCATTCGATCCAAACGATTTGCTTCGTCTTTTGTAATGAGAACAGTAAAATAATGGATTAATCTGCCGACGTCTGCCTTCCCACTCGATTAACTATCTGGGAGTCTTAAAGGCGATAACTAATAGGTTTTGTTACGCTAAGTGCGATTCACCATCTAAGGCTGCATCACCACTTGCCACCAGGTGGGATTGTAGACAATCACTGGCTTGTTATAAATAAAAAAAAGTACAGCAGGTACAATTGAAATATTAATTAAAAATCGTGAGCTGTGATGATTTTAGAGCGAATTATCATGATGATCCTGATTAGGATAAGGTTATTAAATTATTGTATTGACATCGGCCCTTGATACGAGTGCAAATTTTCTAGTCAATCAGCCATCTATATGTTGATGAAAATTACATTAAAAGATTCTGTTACATAGATAAATAAATAGATACACGCGAAGCAGATAAAAGCTTGTTAAATTGTTTAATTTTTTTATTCGTATTCTTGTATTGTCATTCGAATTTGAGCTACATTCAAAATTTCAAGTGTTCAGCTCATCGGGAAGTTAGTATACATACTGAATTCCACCCCGATCCACAGACAAACAAGATGGAAACGTTTTAAAATTAATATTAATTACAAAGTTAAATTAGCCATAGACAAGTTATTTTATTAAAATTTATTTATATGGTCCCATACGTAATACATATCTGTGTTTAATAAAATATAATCTTCCTTAGCTTCTTTTTCTTTTTCTTAGAGGAGCATACATATTTCTAAGTATTTTCTCGTTTGACGCCGAGATCGCGTAAGTGAAGTTTGCAAATCAGTTGCCGATATATAAAAACTCACATACTCCACCTTTTAGTAGCGGTAATATTTGCCGAATTCATAAAAAGTAAAAGTAAAATTACAGCCTATATACGTCCAACTGCTGGGCACAGGCCTCCCCTCATTTCTGAGAGGGTTTTAGGGCAAGGAAGTGTCCGCCGCGCTGCCCCAATGCGTGTTGGCGAACTTCACATGTCTTCGAAATATTTTTTTCTTATTCCTCAGACATGCAGGTTTCCTCACGATGTTTTCCTTCACCGCCGAGCACGTGGTAAATCAGTACTTAAAATTGCAATTGACAATTTTATTGGTGCCGGCGGGGATCGAACCCGATTTACTCGCGTTCTGTTATATTTTACAGCGAGCGTTAACCATCTGAGCTACCACGGCTCTCCGTGCCGAATTCATATTATAAATTAATTGGTGTTGAGTAGCTATATGAATAAAATTGGTTCTGTGCGTACTGTATTTAAAAAACAAATACAATATGAAACCAACTGCCATTCGCAACATGCATTTTTTATGTATTACTAATTACTATAGCTGGTACCCGGCGCGTTGCAGTAGATGAAATAATTGTACAAATATCGTTTAAAATTTGGAAGAGTTATATTGTTTAATTAACGTCTTTATTATAATAAGTGCATACCTTTAATTTAAATGCGTATGTATAATGTATTTCTCCAAAAAGTGTGATATTATAAGTTCCTTTTATATATTTAGTTGGTAAGCCCTTGAACGAATTCGTTCAAGGGTAAGCCTTATTAAATAAAATAAAATTAAATTAGTAATGACAATACATTCATTGAAGTTGAATTATATATAATTTTCAAATAAATACGATACGCGCGACCCTACTGTAAATTAATTGTACCATGACCTATATAATATATAGTATAATGACCGTAGCGCAAGTGCAAGCAATAAGTTGACAAAGATTAGATTATTTATTAAATAAAATGAAAATCACGAATTACGTCACCTTTAATTTTAACTTTAAAGTCC